TACGCTCGACTTGAATTCGAGAGTTCCGTGGTTCGAGTACCGGCGAGGGCATTGCTCATTTTTCATCTCTCCGTCTATCCTAACGTCTCTATGGTGATCTATCCTAACGTCTCTATGGTCTCTATGGTCTCTATGGTGAATATCCTAACGTCTCTATGGTGGCTCCCGAGCTAAAGGTGGTGAATGATGATTCTTCTCCACCAGGATTTGGCAATTGGGTACCCTAAACCCCAGTCGCCCTTTAAAAGGGGGAGTATATAAAGTATTTCTCCCACCTTCTTAGCATGCCTTCGTGGCGTAGTGGTCAGCACGCTTGACGCGTGTTCAAGAGGTCCGTAGTTCGAGTCCCGGTGAGGGCATTGCTCATTTTTCATCTCTCCAGCTTCGAAACAAACTAATGTCTCAACGAAAGCGATATTAGTAGAATGTTGCTTTTTTGCGCAATTTTAGAAATTTAGCTAGTTTTAAACAACTGGTGACAAATAAATTACGTATTTAAGAATTTAGGAAAACTGTTATTTATAAAGAAAGGAAACTTTCCAAGTATGGTACATTGAAATTAAGGTAAACTTCAACATTAGCTATTGAAGCTGATTTTATGGAATACTGCTAGCCATTTTAATATCTTCATGTGAGTTTTTCTCACAAATGTTAATCAAGCCAAAGTATACATTATAAGGTATTTCTCTCGTCTTCTTAGCATGCCTTCGTGGTGTAGTGTTCTGCATGCTGGGCATGTATTTCAGAGGTTCATGGTTTGATTCCCGGCAAAGGCGTTGCTCATTTTTCCTCTCCTGCTTCCAAAAACTATCTAATGTTTCTCTACAGTGGCTCCCGAACTAAAAGGGTAGTGGATGATGTTTCTTCACACCCAGGATTTGGCGATTGGGTCCCCTAAACCCCCCAATCGCCCTCTAAAAGGGGGAGTACATAAGGTATTTCTCCCGCCTTCGTGGTGTAGAGGTCTGCAAGCTGGGCGCGTATGCCAGAGGTCTGTGGTTCGATTGCCAGCGAAGGCGTTGCTCATTTTTCATCTTTCTTGCTTCCAAAAAATACCTAATGTCTCTACAATATGATCATTAGCAAAATGTCCTAATTCTGAAATTCAATTTTCAAAACAGAAAAGAAATATTATATAAAATGCAGTTAATTGAGTTTTAGATTAAAGTGACTTTGGAAAATAAATCTTTAGACAGCGACTCTTCATTAATATATGAATAACTAATTGAAATTATAGTTACATTCAGGGTAAAAAAATTTGCACATAAAACAGAAAATACGTTTTAAAGATTTTTAAAAATTTTATCTGCTTTACTAATACTATTTTTTTTATTTTTAACATTGTTTCCTTCGTTTCGAGTGAGATATTTCGTTACCCTGTTACCTGAATAAATTAAAACAAAATATAATTTTTTAATTACGCTAATTAAACCAATTTTATTACAGAAAATACAATGTACATCATAAAACAAATTTCATAGTGTCTTACTGTATGGGAAACTCACTGTCTAAGATATAATAAAGAATTTTTAATTATCATGCAAAAAATAATAAATAAAATTAATTAGATATATAAAACGACTCTTTTCTAGGATATTCCGTTTTTGTCCTTCAGATGATGCTCTTCTGGAATTCGGTTATTACGAATGTACCAGGATGAGTTTGAAATTTCACGTAATATACAATTTTGGGCTGTTTGGAGCCTCTTTCTGTCCGATTTGCAACAATGTGCCCATACTGGGCAGGCGTAACAGAGCATGGGACGCAATACGGATTTGTAAATGAGTAACTTGTTGTCTATAGATAGAATGCTGTTTCGAGCAATTAAAGGGAATAGTGTTGCTTTACGAGTTCGAAACTTCTGTAAGAGAGATGCTATGTGTGGGGTCCATGTGAGAGAATTACTGAGGATCACCCCTAGAATAAGGGACCTTCTTAGCCCAGGGGATAGATGATCTGTAGAAATACAAGTTTTTATCAATTTTCTTTTTCTAAGCAAGATAGCATGCGTCTTGTCTACATTAACAAGAACATTCCATTTTTGCAGCCACATCTCAAGTATGTTTATGTGATTTTGTAAACGTTGTACGACTGATCCATCAAATGCACATTGCGTCAGGATAGCTGTGTCATCTGCATACATTGCGAGTATCGTGTTGGTGGTGTAGGAATGTCGTTCAGATAAATATTAAAAAGTGTGGGTGCCAGGAGGAACCTCTGGGCTACGCCTGTTTATATGGGACGTTGTGTAGAATACGAGCCGAAAACATGAACGACGAAGTGTCTACCGGTTAGATAAGATTTAATTATGTTTGTGATGTAATCTGGGAAACCCAGATTGCGTATTTTGTAAAGGAGTGCTTCCAGCCATACGCGATCGAAAGCCTTGGAAATGTCTAAGAAAATTCCACCTGTGATCTTCTTGTTTTTTATTCCTTCAGTAATCGTTTCAACAACTCTGTAGAGTTGGTTTGTTGTGCCTAGATTCTTTCGGAATCCAAACTGGAAAGGGATGAGGATATTATTGTCTTCCAGGTGCTTACACACTCTTTGAAGAATGAATGCTTCGGTAATTTTGCTTAGGCATGGCAGGAGGTTGAAGGGCCTGTAAGAATCTGGTTTGTTTGATGGTATTCTAGGCTTTAATATAGGGTTTATTGTAGCAAGCTTCCAGTCTTGAGGAAAATATTGCCGTTTCAGGATCAGGTTAATGATTTTGACGAAGATGAACACAGTCTTTTTGGGGAATTTTTGAATCATATCGTTTGAGATCTTCTCGTGCCCTAGGGCTTTCTTCTTCTTGAGTCGTTGAATGTATTCAAGGACTTCCAATGGCATGACTGGGGTATGTTGTCAGTGCGTGGATTGGGAGAGTAATTGTTCTGAAAGCTAGTGATAATATTTTCTGTTGTTGTGTCATGTATGTTGTGAAGTTGAAAGTGAGATTCCAGATGCTGAGCAATAAGTTCTGCTTGCTCAGTTTCAGTGTAATGGATCCTATTGGCGCCTTTAAGGGGCGGAATGCTGTTGTAGCATTTCTTATACCTTTTGAGAGCTTTCCACAGCGAATTATCATTCGTGACCAGTGATGTAAGGTATTTGGACAAGCCGAGTTCTGCTTGTACGTTAGTCTCAGATAGTCTGAGATTTGACTGCGTTACACAGTTGGTTAAATCTACACAATTGCGTTACAGAGTCTGGTTATCTACACAATTGCATTGCGCAATCTGGTTAAATCTACACAATCTGCGTTACACAATTGGTTGTCTACAGGATTTCAAGTGCGCTGAAATTTTCTCCGAGCTGCATTTCGTTGTTTAATGAGTTCAGGTATTTCCTTGGTGCGACCTTTGTTTCTGGCTTTAATTTCTTTTTTTGCTCCGCTATATGCAGCTTGAATTTGTTTCGTAAAGCTCTTTACTAAACTGCCAATGTCATTCCCTGATTGTATTGTAGGAAGTGTGTATTGAATGTTGTTCAGAGCTTTGACATATTTACGCCAGTCAGTAGTAAAGGCTATTTTGTCTCTTGTGGTACAACTATTGATAATCAGGAGTATCCGAACTGGGTTGTGATCGGATGAGAGTTCATCCAGCGCAGAAACATCCAGTGAAACACTGGTGTTTCTGAGGAGGAAGAAATTTATGATTCCCGTGGAACCGGCAGGATACCGTGTTGGGATTTTTGGAGCTGCAACTCGTAATCCTGCCATGGAATTGGCTAAGTTGCAGATTACGGTACCCATGCTGTTATAATTTGAAAAGTTCCATGCGCGTTGTCGTGCATTTAGATTTCCACATCGAATTACATGTCTTTCAATTGTAAGTAATTTCTTTATGTCATCTGTGACCTGTACGAGGTTGCTGTTGCACTTTTCATCTTTTCCGAAAATGTGGTAATATGCAAGAGTCAGTTTGACAAGTTCGTTCGATCAGATCATCTAAACAAGGAGTCGAGAGACAGTGATCATCATTGTCTTGTGAAAGAATGGCGGCAGTGGGAAGTCTTTGTTTTTTGTATCTTTCCTCTTCCTCGTCTAAATCTTCAATTCGAAAGGATAGATTACTCGTCGGCTTTCGAAACGATCCAAAGACTATGTAAATAATTTATATTTAAATCAGGTTTCTTTCAGGTTATACAACAGAATGATGAAGGATGTCACATTTATTATAAAAAAGGTGCGTAATTTTAAATTTCTTCATTCTTCGTTTGCATAATACAGAGAAAAGAAAATATTAACTTTCTTTCTAATACAATATAGAAATAAAAACTCAAAATGTTAACACGACATGTATTGCAAATATTAAAACAATTAATTTAAGACTGAAATCTCGTATATTTCTCAGTGCTGTAAAACAAACGCAAGAGTGCATTGGAAAAATATACATGCTGTTAAGATATAAAAACTGTAATATTTCCATGAAGAATTTCTCTTTTTTAGAAATCTCCAAATTGTGCAAAACAAAATTTACTGGCGCAACTTTGATGTCGGAGATCGGAGATCATCATTCGTTAAGTGGTGTTCGACCCGAGGGCCTTTACCACTACATGTTTATCAATCCCCTAAGGACCTGTAAAAGTTCGTTAAATTCCATAAACTGGAAAAGTCCTGTGCACTTGTAATAAAAGTGCAAAGTCTTCAGTAGTGAAGAAGTTGATCAGGGGTGGCGACTTATATCGGCCACAGATGAAGTCTTCGTTGGATAAGCTATAATAGCAACTAAATTTTGGCATATCTTTTACACATTATCGTATATTTGACACTGTATCGTACATTAGTAAGATGAAAAGGATGATAGATGAAACAAAATCTAGATTAAATAGTTGAAAATAATAAAATATATACAAGAACTACCATCTAACATTATGATGTATAGTTCTGGGCCGTGTCCCACTTTGATGTGACACAGTCTTCGTTGCGCGTAAGATGTCACGTGATCTTCATGCACGTTTGGGGATTTAGTACTGACCAGGAAAATACGTGAAGCGTGAAGTTTGATCATGTGATTTTGTTTTCCGTGTAGCCTTTCAAGTTTTGGAGGTAGTACGTGAAAGACTGGTAGAAACTAGGTTGTTGCACTATTTACTTGTTGGCGTTCTTAATTACTCCCCATACAATTTTTGTAATTTAAATCATGGTAGGAGTTACGGCTAAGCATGCAATGGCCATTCAGTTCTTCGTAACTTTCATAATTATTTGCGGCGTTAGTGGGCAAAATAATCAGAATGTAAACAATACTGAAACTGCGACAGCCAGTATTACAAGTACAGTTTCCGATCTTCCTAAGAACATATGTGAGTTCTTTTTACATTTCTGTGTTTTTTTAACTCATTCTTGTTTCTGTGTGATTAACTATAGTTTTTTGTGAATTCGCAAAACTGATAAATACAAGTGTTTAAAAACTGATAAATACAAGCGTTTATTATTATGGAACTAAAATTGTATTTATTTTATGATTTATGAAAACCATAAACTGGCTTTCACTTTCTTAACGCACGGGGTATCACACATATTATATTCCATACAAGTGAAAGCCAGTTTCCTTTCCACTATGAGGGCATCCACTATGAAGTCCACTATGAGGGCATCTTCCCTTTACGCATATTGCTCTGGAACTACTGTGCCATAATAAATTACCCACTACGGTCATTAATTTATGTTTACATGTAGCGTCAAACCAAATAATTCCATAATTAAGTATGTGACATGTATGACAGCATTGGTGCAGTAATATGTAGTAATAATATTATTGTAATATAACCTGTTATAAAATAATATGTATATAGTGTAAGTTATTTTTTTTCATTATTCTTAGCAACGTTAGCAGTTCATTAATTAGTAGCAGTTAGTTAATTTTTCGTTCAGTAAATTTCAAGTTTGTCATGTTAAAAGTTACAAAGTTTCAAATTTTAAGAGAAACACACCAGTGTAAAATTTAAAATTAGCCTAAACAGCAGTTGTAAACTTACTCAAGATGTATGAGAAAGTAAGGTTGCCTAATGTTAAATTCATAAAATTTCATAGTATTTTGGGTAATTATTGTAAAATGTAGTTTACAAATATATGCAAATGTTTGTATTGAATATTACAAAGTAATGACTGTGTGAGTTAGATTCAAATTTGTGTTTTTGGGATTCTGGGGAAAAAAAAAAAAAAACTGTTATTTTTTTTTTCAGTTATCAACAAAATCTCTCTAAACAACTGACAGTTTTTATGTATGTGAATTTTTGATAAAAAGAGACAAAAATTTAAGAATCTTCCTTAAAGAGTAAAATAAAGGCTTCATGCAGTAATTATAATAAAATAGAATTTATATGTTTTGGAGAACAGCTGTATAGTTGAATGACGCAAAGTACACCTTGCATAAGTAAAGCTGACATTTAAGTTGTCAGTGTTGATGCATCCTTTCAGTTTTTAGAAGATGCTGTTGTTTTTTTAAACAGTAAAACTTAAATGATATGCATTAAAATAAATCTAGGAATTCAAAACGGGATAATAAAGCTTAACAATGATGAAAAATGTTAGAGATAAAGAAAGATTTTGTGAAATTTGAAAGGGCAAAGTATTCGTTTAGTGATATGAAATTATAAATTACTAAAAATAATAATTTCTGAAATTTTAATCCAGGAGGAAAGAATTTTAAACATAAAAGTTTTGATGACTATGAATATTTACCATTAGTGGTGGGGGAAAAGTTTGTCTGCAAACCATAAGATCATCTTTGAGGTCTGCTGGATATTTTGACAGGTTTAGGAAAGCCTGTGAAGTCTGTAGATTGATTTAAAAGAATGCAGTTTAAAATGATTAAACATTTTTATAATTGTGCTTTTGATTGAAAAAAGGTTAGTTTAGTGCATTTGGTTACTGCGGTCATCCTGAGGAAAAGAAATGAAAATTTATAGTTATATACAAGGCCATGTAAAGGTTTGGGATCAACATTTTCCAGGAGGGGGGGGGGAATGATTTCTTTTGGTACTAATATAAATTCAGTATAATACTATAAAATAACGATAATCTATAGTTTAAAATTAGGCAAGAAAGCAGTCATAGACTTAATGCATGTTTTTAATAAAACTCTGTTGATTTTAAGAGTGACTGAAAAAAGAGGAAATTGTGTTTGAGCACCTTCAAAGTCAATAGAGTTTTTTTCTAAATTTATGCCAAACTGAGACTTTTTATTCCTGAAGAAGAGAGACCTGTAGACGATCATCCTCAAAGTCAGTAAGCATTTTATTCAAAATCTATGAATTATGCCTTCCTACTTTCTTTTCTTTTCTTTTCCCTCCTTTTTTTAGTCCAAAGGGGCTTTGTCCCTGAAGGACTATTGTTTTCGTTTCTCAATTTTGCATCGGAACTCTATAAATATCATATCACTTTTAAAATCGTTGCCACCAATTACTATCACCATATTTTGTAAAACAAATTTTTGATTAGCAAACTGAATGATTTAAAAGAAGTAATAGCAACACTCTACGGGGGTTGGGAAACCTTTTTATTTCCAGTATGTGGAACTGTGTATCGAAAATTCTAAAGATAAGCTCATTTTAAAATTATTTTGCAACATTGCTGTTGAACTGAATTTTCTGGTTTAAGTGCAAAGAACATGATATTTAATAAATAAAGGTAACACACAAAATGTTAAAAAAAGCCCCTTTAGACGTAATTTAAAATCTGAAACCTTTCAGATTTTTTTTTTTTTTTTTTGCTGATATTTAAATTTTTTCCTTAGTATGTTTCTCTTCCTATCTGCAGTTATTTATGAACAGCATGAAGTATAAAGACTACTGAAATCTTCCATGGGGTGGCGATTCCTAACAGTTTCATTGGTTTGAAGCTGTGGCTTTTTAGCATGTTTTTGAATCAGCACCTTTCATCCCTACTCTTTCCTTTCTCCAATAACCAGTGAGATAAGATAGCAGTTTGACATTTAATGCAGATTTATTTTTATGATTTATGAAAACCATAAACTGGCTTAGAAAAGTGCTTCAAAGGTTGAGGTTTTCCCAAGAAAGTGCTTCAAAGGTTGAGGAATCGAATTGCATGCATCTGCCCAGAGCTCGCAAACAATTGGATTCTGCATCACAATAATGCACCAGTTTACACATCCTTGAAAGTGACTAAGTTTTTGGCACAACATTGCCCCAACCACCATACAACCCCGACCTGTAAATGCCAGATGCTTTTCTGTTCCCTTGGTTAAAATCCAGTTAAAGATCATTGTTTTAACAATCTGGAGATTTTTCAGAAATGCGTAACATGCATTCTGGACAGCATTCCAGTTGAAGACTTCAAGTTGGACATCAGTGGGTGGCCAAGCCATTGGCAACGGTATATTAATGTAGGAGGAGGCTTTTCTGAAGAATATCAAGCATCTCTCTGTAAAATGTCTCACTACTACGTGTCTAATTATTATGATTAATTTACTGTAAGACTATCTTCAACTAAACAAATTTTATGGAATCGGTCTCATTACTTTCTAGAGAGACCATGAATGTACAGGGCATTTTTTCCCATATTTAAAATTGCAATAAAATGAGTTCAGAAGAAGCAGAAATGTATATATAAAACTTTAAATGCTTATTGTATTAATTAATTTTTTTCTCTTTCAGCTTGTGAAGTATTCGATAATGATTGTAAAGCATGTGTTGAAAATACCCAGGTAATGTGTACATTAATGAATTATTAATTTTTAATGTTTTTTAGAGCAGATTTTTACCAATTCATTCAGAAAGATGGTATATTAATAAAATTTACAGTTGATTTTACTTAACTCATTTATTATTTATATAAAATATCTCTTTATATGAAATTGTCTTGTTTGCTAGACAATTTTTGTATATGAAAATTTGTAAGTTATCTTCATGGGAGAATTTAAGGGACATATATATATTAGTTTACCTTAGTGAAATTTGGTGAATTTTCACAGAAGAAAAAGAACTGCAAAAAATTATTTCTTGGAAAACTTTACATTTTAATTAGGTAAGATCAGTCAATGAACCTATCTTCAAGAGGATTTTTTTTTCGGTTGATCTTTAGATTATGGTAACTTGGCGATTTTTTGGCGAAAATTTGGTGACCAACTCTGCTACAGCAACCCCTATTTTGTATTTTTTTTTCCCGCCGCCATTTGTCTTCACGAAGTAAAGACATGTTTCTTTTCTTTTTATCTACTGAACACTTCTTCCAACAATCTACTAGCCGAATTACACTTATGCTAAAAATTTTATCTAACAAAACTGCTTAATCATGACAAATATTCACTGCAAAATTGGGAAAAAGTGCACAATAGCAAACTCCTTGCGCGTTTTTCAAAATAACACATACACGTAAACCATGTACACGTCGACTTATTTTTACTTAAAAAAACACCCCAGAGTTGTACAAAAATGGCATTGCGCACACTCTTTACTATATCCATGTACACTGCTTTTTTTCTCATAAATTAGAAAAATTTCACGAAATACATGACAATTTTTTGAATCTTAAAAACCCGGTAAAAAGAACATATATGAAATTACCTGATCGCGAAAAAGTATATACCCTTCCAAATATGAACATTTCCACATATAAAATAAAAAAAATATCCAAAAACTTTTACCTCTAAATTATCTATTATATTATAAATGTCACCAACGAATTCATACCGCAAACATTACAAATACTTAGTGTCAAATATTTAAATTATTGCCATGCACGTTTACTTCAACTAAAACGTATACCAAATTCCTACAAACATAAAATTCACAAAATAAGTATAATTTAATTAAAATATCACTAAACCATGTACACGTCGACTTATTTTTACTTAAAAAAAACATCCCAGAATTGCACAAAAATGGCATTGTGCACACTCTTCACTATATCCATGTACACTGCTTTTTTCTCATAAATTAGAAAAATTTCACGAAAATGCATGACAATTTTCTAAATCTTCAAACCCGGTAAAAAGAACATATATGAAATTACCTGATCGCAAAAAAGTATATACCCTTTCCAAATATGAACATTTCCCCGTATAAAATAAATAAAATATCCAAAAACTTTTACCTTTACATTATCTATTATATTACAAACGTCACCAACTAATTCATACCGCAAACATTACAAATGGTTACAAATACTTAGTGTCAAATATTTAAATTATTTCCATGTACGTTTTACTTCCACTCTAACATATACCAATTCCTACAAACATATAATTCACAAATAACTATCATTTAATTAAAATATAATTAAATTCAAAAACACTACTTAAAATATAAAAATCATTGCTAATAACAATTTTCCAATAATACCATATTATTTTATTTACTCCTTACATTTAGAACAATGCATAAAAATAATATCCTCAAATAATTAAAAATACTAACTTACCTAATCTTCTTCAGAATGATTGATTACGTGTCCGATAAACTTTTCTTATTTCCTCTGCTAAATAAAAAGCAAGCGTATGTGCGCCTGTTCAGGATCTTTAAAATCATACTTATAGTTCACAGCAAGGGTACCAGGTAAAATAAATAACTTTAATAAAACATCTTGACTTCTATCTCGCAAATCCTTAAAAAACACTTATTACTACCCCTTTCAATCCCACTAAATACCCATTTCGAGTTCACTTAGTTAGGGCCATGGATTCAAAAATTAAACAAACACTGGTTTCACACAAACACAGCATAAAGCTAAATATAAAATTTCCAGATTTTTCCCGATTTCCCCCCTTTTCCGATTAAAGAACTGTAATTCGTCCATTAATATCACATGACATATCCCATGATCTCTCATTTCCCTCACACAAAATAATGTGTAATCGGAACTGAGTACTGCTCACATTATTACCAAAGTCCCAGGTAGTAACCTTTATCGCCTCCAAAATGTCACCAAACTACCAGTTACCATATTCTAAAGATCAGCCTTTTTTTCATTATAGTGAAAATTTTGTGGCAGCTATTTAAGAATGCATAGAACCAAAGCTGTTGCCAATTGAGTAATATGTGATATATGGGATTTTTTTGTTATCTGTTTATATTAAAAGCATAGTACTGCAGTGATCCTTGCATCTTTGTTCACTTAAATATTCTGAGTGGAGAAGTTATGGTACTTTGATTATCTGCATTCCTACCGAAAAGTACCGAACTCTTTGGAGAGCAATCGTGAACTCATCAGTGATTTTGAAAAGAATATATGTTTATTTTGGGTATTTTTACATCTATTTTGGTTTCAAGAAATTGTGTAAAATGATCATCCCATGCATACTTGGTGTCAAAATCGTAAAATGAGAAGGAAAAAAGAAGTGCGTGATCCCTTTGAGTGAGCCACAGTAAGGTGGCTTATGATGTGTGCCTAAAGAAAGTTGGAGAATTGGCTGAGAATGATGTCATTGCTAGGCAAAAATGCTGAAATTTCCATAGGAGGGATTATGATATGCAGTCACACTGTTGAAAATGCCTTGAGATGTGGGAAGCCATCTAGGGAAATGATTGTATTCATACTTGGGTTTCCAAATAAGTACATGTTCGTAAAACCATAGATTGTTACATAAATACTTTTTGGCAAGATTGTACATTATCTCATCAATGCTTTTTTGTTTCTTTATGGTGGGGGTGCTAATAATTAAAAAGTAACAAAGCTATTCTAGAAAATTCCTCCTAAGAACTTTGTGGAACTTTTCGGTTAACTGTATTTTTAAACTGAGGTAATACAGTCAAAAGTCGTTAATTCGGACTCGTCGGACTTCAGCGATTCCGGATTATTGATTTTTCCAGATTATAGATCATCAGTTTAAATCTCGTAAAATGGCATGCAGAAATTCTAAAATTAAAAAATTGAAACCGTAATTTATGAAATAAAGAACAATTATGATCTAAAGGGTATCAAAATTTACAAAAAAAAAAAAAAAAAAAAGCTTAAGCTTAATATTTATTTGTTTACTTTATTAAACATTTCTTTCATGTAAGTTGTTTAAGTTGCTTATTTTTTGTGTAATACTTTTTCTTTAATTCTATAAACAGACATAATTCTTGTTCAGTTACAAAGTTCCGTGTTCAAGTCCCGTAATTGCTGTTGAGAATAAGACTATTGTCAATCGAAATTTTTTCGTTTTCACTAACTCTTGTCCTTCCTGTTTATCCATTTTTTGCAGCAATTCCACTTTTTGTTGATGGACATCGAAAACATACTTTCACTTTGTAGATCCTTTGGGAGTATCCAGCATCGGAAATTCTATTTGACATAATCGAAAGTTCAAGTTTACTTTTATAAAATTGCTTACAGTCTGAAAAAATAATAATCCGAATCCAGTTCGAAGATTAAGGAATAACTGCAATCTGCAATCATTAACTGAAATAGATAATTAGATAAATTTTAGTATACTGTCCGTTATAACATTTAAACGTATTCTGCACTGCGCACAGCATTGCCAGTCGTAAGTCTTAACGCGCACACGTAAACGCCTATGTGCATGTGTCAACGCGGCGCATGTGCAGAAAGTTTTTAGCTTTGAGGTCCGGATTATAGATCATTCCGGATTATGGGTATCCGAATTAACGACTTTTGATTGTAATATAAAAATTCAACAATCCGAGACTACATAATATGTGAATGCCTGTAATCTGCAGGTGTGTTTTGGATGTCGGTGAACAAAATCTTTTTAGAAAATTTGCTATGGTAAATTTAGCAGTAATGAATTCCTTATATGAGTATGAAAATTAACCTTTTAACAAAAATGTAGTGTATTTATGACATTTTGTTTGAAGAAGTGAATTTGTTTTATTATTAACCCTTAGCGCTCCGTTGGCTCCGGTACGGAGCTGTCCGTCATTTGTTCCGTAACACCGTAGGCTCCACTGCAGAGCCCAGTGTTTTTAGCATGATTAGGCTTAAGATGTTACGGAATCGTCGTCATTGGCAATTTTTATCTGTAGTTAAAACATGCTCAGTCTCACTACTGTTATGATTGAAACAATATTTGACCCATTTTATGGCTAGCAACATGGAGAAAAATAATTATTGTGATGAGAATATAGAGTTGAGTGATAGTGAAAATATGTTTCATTTTTTTATTGTTAAAAGATATTGTGGAAGACAATTATAATTCTGACACTTCAAGTAGTGGTTCCGAAATTATACTACCAAAGAGACGACGAATGGTAGTTATTGAAAGTGAAAGCGAAGAGTCTCCGAAAGACTTAGATGAATGGCGCAGTGTCACAGAAGAATTAGATATTCCAGATAGAATACATTTTAGTGTATCGCCAAAGGTCATTGGACCACAAATTCCTACAAATATTGTATAGCCGACACAATATTTCAAATTATTTTTTGCAAATGAACTTGTAAATGGAATTATAAAAGAAACCAACAATTACGCAGAAAATGTTCTAAAGAATAAAGAAATATCTAGTAATTCCATTTGGAAAACGTGGCGTGCGGTGATGAGTTTTGGGCTTTTATTGGAGTTGTTATCAATATGGGTATGATACCCCTGGCAAATATGCAAGATTATTGGTCAGTTAAGGAGAATAGTCACATCCCTTTCTTTGGTAAAATATTTACAAGAAAGAGATTTATGCAGATATTCTGGATGCTGCGTTTAAAAACACCGGATCCTGCGAAAAATGACATTAGAATATGCATTCAACGAGCATCTAATTTTTTGGAATATATAAACTCAAGATTTTTAGACTGTTTTATACCTGGAGAAAACATATGCATTGACGAATCTGTAGTTAAATTTAAAGGAAAGATAAGCTTCATCACATACAATCCCAATAAACCTACCAAGTGGGGCATTCGAATATACATTCTAACAGATTCCGAAACTGGATATGTGTATAGCATTCTTCCGTATTATGGAAGTATCACTTCTGAAAATCTGCCAAGGCGAGATTTACTGGTCAGCACCAGAATTACCCGGCATCTGTACCAATAATTATTAGATTGGGTACCTACCGCAGAAGGATATCATATGCATACCGACAGGTATTATACTAGTATACCCTTAGCTGAAGAATTAAGAAAAATGAAATGCCACTTGACGGTACCATACAAATAAACAGAAAAGTTGTTCCAACAAATCTGAAGAAACCAAAATTAAGAGAAAAAAACTGTTGCATACAAACGAGGAAATACAATGCTCTTAGCTTGGAGGGATAAGAGAATAGTAACATTATTGAATAACTGGCATAATCCTGGAATGATTACCACTAATAGATTCGACGTGGTACAAACGAAGTGATCAAAAAGTCAAGTGTAATTGTTGGGTACACAAAGTCGATGGGTGGTGTTGATCTGGCTGATCAATACATCTCCAGTTATTGCTTTTTGATGATATCACTTAAGTGGTGGCGGAAACTATTCTTTTGGGAAGTGGAGATGTCAATAATTAATTCATACATCTTGCATAAAACTGTACAGCATAATAAAAGCGAGAAAGCATTGATGCTTTTAAAGTACAGGAAAATTTTAGTCGATCAACTCGTAGGAGATTTTCGTCAGAAGAGAACAAGAGTTTCTACGTCAACTTCTGAAATAAGACTAAACGGAAAACTGCACATAATGAGGAAAGGTCCAAAGAGGGACTGTGCTGTGTGCTCTACAAGGAAACAAAGGGATGGCAGACGTCAACCAATTGAGTACTGTGACACTTGCCCAAGTAAACCCAGAATGCACATGGGAGAATGTTTCCAAAGATTCCATTGTGAATTACAAAATATAAAATTTACTTTTTATTTACAAGAAGAAGGTGCATATGTATAAAATAAATAAAATCAAAAACATTCACAGGCACGTGTATTTCTTCTCACTTAAGACTTCTTTTTCACACTTGTTCCACTGCGAAAATGTGCCGGAGTTGCTGGTAGGCAGTGGTACAAAAACGTGCGGAGCTCTAAGGGTTAAAGCTATTTAGCCTTTTCTGCCTGCACATCAGAGCACTCATTTTATAGTAAACTTTGATTGTGAATATGCAGATTTTCATTTAAATAAATCCATATTTTTGGATATATGTTCCTTTGCTTTTCTAAATTAATTTTGAGTTTATGTAGGTAGCATGTGATAAGAATTCTTTTTTTTTTTTTTTTTTTTTTTTTTTTTTATATTTCTCACACAATATGCAAGTTTTTTTGTGCTTGCTTTGAATACGGATAGATCATTAAAAAGTGTGCTTGCAGAGGTTTTTTGTTGTTGGGAAAGAAAAGCATAGTAAAGAAAATAGGTTGAGAGCATTAAAAAATTTAAAACTTCAGTTCCAGCATTTTTTATCAACTGCTGGTAGTGCTTATAATTTATTTGCACAAGCATGGAACATAATAGTGGAATTAGTGTACAGATTAAATTTAGTGAAAAACTTACTAGTAGGATTTTAGGTAACAATGCATTTATTTATCATTTAAGAGCATAAAAGTTAAGGGTTATCACATCTAGCAATCGACCCTGCTAGACAGGATTATTCTGAGAAACGAGATTCTGGTAGCACTGGTTTAAACGGGAGGATTCCTACAAAGAAAAAGCTTCGCTGTAAGAGAAGTCCTGCGTAGCTATATACCGGCTATGCGAGATTTTTTTAAACTTGGGTGAAAATGTTTCGGCTGGAGCTCTGTCCTGCATAGAGATCAACCAATCAGCTGAAAGTTCTGCTTCTGAAGGATCACGTAATACCAATCTGAGCAATAATTGATTACTGTTTGGCGTTCAAGTCTTTGTAGTAACTCAAAATAGTAGTTGGGGATGTGCAGTTTTTGAGAATTGTCCCTTTTGACATCAAGTCTCTCATGGCCGAAACATAATGTGATTGGGACTTTACTTTGAAAGTAATTTCACCTGTGAATGTATCAATTTTATATAAAATATCTTAGACATTATTGAGTTTTTAGAAAGAGTTCTTTATTTTCTGAAAATATTTCCTTGTCATTTAGCCCCCCTTTATAGTGTATAGCATATGATTCAATCTGTGTGTAGGGTACTTGTTCTGAATAAGTTTTGTAAAGTAGTTATTTATATTATTTGTTACTTAAGTTATTATTTATTTATTTTTTAAGTTAAAATATCTCTTCTCACATGTGATTTTGGAACTCTCAAGAGTTCTGGAATTAAGTTTGAAATTTATATAAATTAGTTTCTTGAAATAAGGTTTGAATTTCTATTTCAGTAATCAGCATGTTTGCTGATTGCTGATTACTGATTATTGATCAGTTAAAATATTTAACACAAGACTTTTATCTATTGCTTCACAAATTATGTGGCATATGTTTTTAAGCTCTATAAATTAGAGAAAATTTACTTAAATTTGAATTTGCAGTGTTACTACTGTGATACCAATAACAAGTGCAACTTCCATGTAGAAAGAATCATAGCAGATGGTGAATGTGACATAAAAGACGTTCACTTTTGGACATGCAAAGGTATGTGTCTAATTATATTTAATTTTGTGAAATTATAAATATTTGTATCTAATGTAGCTTTTTAGAACTTTTAGTAGTGTTGTTATAAAACATGTAACTGTTTCGTAGCATAGTAAATGCATGTAGAAATTCACACTGAATTCTAATTATATTTTGACTGCTTGAAATTTTATGAAGTTTTATTTTTGAAGAAGCTAAAGAGCTTCTATATTTCATTGATTTTTGTTAATAAAAATATAAAATGTAATACTCTCTAATGAATTCTCTGATAGTGTGAATTTTAAGTTTCATGGTGACTGGCACTTTTTTGATAATAAATTAAGTGCAGTTACCAGATGTGTGGATGGACTGAGACAGTCATGAATTCATGAATACATCTGGAGTTATGTTCTGGACTGAAAAAAATGTTAAGATTCCCCAGTGAGTGATTTTAAAAGCTAAAAAATTGTTGATTTTTTTTTAAAGAAGACAGGAGGGTACTTTTACCATTAAAGCCATATAGTGCATTTTCAACAAAATGTTGGCACATTTTGGTTTCTTTCTCTCTGCACATCTGGTGCTCAATACTAGATGAAACGTAATGATGAAATACAGCAACAAATAAAATTCTTTAATTTCATGATAAAATCTTCTAGAAACTTACTGTGGAGAAACAATATGGTCTATAGTTTCAATTTTTTTTTCCAATTAACCATTGTGCTGTGATTCATTCGAAGTAAACTTTGATTTGCAAAACGTAATGATTTTTCCCCCTCCTGTTACCAGAAGTAAATAAATCATACTGCAGTAACCCCCCCCAAAAGAAATGCATGATCGAACAAACCATGTTTGTGTTTGGATACCTTTCACTTCTCAGCATGACTGAAGGCTATTTCGGGCTTCAACCTGGAAGTAATGAAATGTACCTCAACAACAACAACAAAAAAGGACTTGAGACAGAGTACAGACGGGAAAATCCCACAAAAATTTATGTTTTTACATGAAAGCAGGTATTTTTAGTAAAATTAAGTAATTTTCAGGATCTTGCTAAATAATTTCATAAGTACACCTTTGCAACAGACTGCAGCAAAATGTATGCAATCTCTTTTCTTACATTTTATTCATGAAGATCCTTGCATTAAATTTTCTTATTTCTTCACATCAACTTTTGATTGTCATGCTGAGAACAAGCTGTACAAGGCCATGCATGTCTTTAACATTAAATTTAACTTAATGGCCTGTATTATCTCTCGAAAAATATGCGATTCCTAAACTTAGGGCTATAGCTGTTACATGCATTAAGCATATAAAAATATTTGGTTAAATAGCATTTTTCTGAGAAATAATTTCCTTTCTTATATTTTATAGTGTTTGTTTCATATTATTATGAAAAATATAAGTGAAAAAAATTGACTTTTATAATTGTAAATGTTTATTCTAGTCCTTCTCTTCCCAATGTATTTTAAAGGATGATAATAGTTTTCATTCTTAAAAAAGTCAATTTTGAAATTTAATTTTAAAGAATATATTTATTCTTTCAGGCTTAATTTAAAGCACAGTATATCAAAATCAGACAAAAATAGGTGGTAGCAGAAAGAAAAGTGCATTTGTATGCACATTCAACCAATTCATCTCGGCTTTATATTTCTCAGTCAGCTGGTAATGTAAACAAAATTATTAGCAGCAGAGGTGGTATTAATTTCAAAACACTTATTGTCTGTATCACTTTTGTGTTCAAATCACTTTTCAGATTGTTGCTACCAAAAGATATACTATATCATTAAAAAATTAAATAATGAAGAATCTGTATGCATGTTCTTTGCATTGTGAAAAAACGATGACATCTAGAGCCACCCAATTTTTAATGTACCTAATCCTCTGCCCGAACATGGCCACCTTGGAGTCTGAATTTTATTTATTTCGTATTTTGTACAAATTTAACTTATTTTTGTTTAGCAAACTTGTCAATTTAAAAATGAGAAGGGGTAAGACTGAAATAAAACGTTTTTATCATCAGGATGCCAGGCTGTAGCCATTAAGCAAGATGTAAGATATTTATCTTGAAATTTTAACTCACAAATTGGCTATCTGAAAGCAGTGTGCTCCACTGTCTGAAATAGAATACATGGTACTTTTCTGTTTTGCTGGCGCAAGCGATAAAGTCGCCAATAGTGGTATAATTGATGCCAAACGGAATATCCTCCCTGGTAACATTTTATTCCTCATTTTCAAAACAAATCGCAGCCTTTTTTTTATCAGATTGATTGTTTCTTTCAATGCTTAGGCCATTCGCACTGGCAAAAAGGAAAAATACCATTTTTATCTAAGGAGCATGAATGATAACATAAAACAAATATCCTAAATGCGTCATTTTTAGATTTTATGTGATAATAAATGAGTTCTTTGATAAGATCATCCATAAAAGTAAAAATTATGTGCACATTGAAATGATCATTCTGGTATCTGAAGCAAATTAAGGATTTCTTAATTCTGGAAAAATTTGTATGTGAAAAAACCAAAATAGAATAATAGGTACTTTTTTAATAGGTTTTATGTACATAAAATTACATAGAATTTTTACCAGCTAGCTGAATTTTATGCCCTAAGGCCATTTGTGGTAGTTAAGTCAATTAGGATACAATCATACCACTCACCGGAAGGCAAAAATATAGAAATTCATCCATTCTAATGAGAATGCACTAGCAAAGTAAAACACTGCAGTTTTACATAATTTCTGAGTAAGGTATTCATACGAATTGAAATAATTCTAGCATTTTAAACTTGTATTCCAAATTAAGATTTAACTTGAAATTAATGTAGATAATTACTGAGAGAATTAGATTTTTGTAGCGTAGTTTATGTGAGATGAGATCACTTGGGGTCACGTAAATATGAACCTGCGAATCAGGATGTTGAACAATGAAAGCATAGTAAATTCTTTATATTAATGTCTTTTTACAAATTTATTGTCTTTATTTATTAGCGTTTTTTATAAAATTTTTAACGATATTATAGTGTTTATGCCTTCAAAATAAAAAATTCTTAGAACTACTATTTGTTAACATTTTTCACGAGTATACTATATCGTGTCGCCAATAAAGTCTGCTTGTCGAGATTTGCGCCGACAAAACGGAAAAGTACCGAATACATATTATCTCCACTCACCAGCATATTATCATTCCATAAAGCATACAATATTTTTTTTATGTCAAGTACTAGCCATTTTTAGGTTTTTGCCACTACTAAGGCTAGAAGGGTTGGTCATTTTATTATGGAGGCAACTAATAGGTGTGGCCACTATTACCTCCTATGAAGAGATAGACAATTTATATCCATGCCTTCTCTGGGATTCGAACCCAGTCCCTTCAGTATCGGAGTCGCCTTCCATAACCACTATACCATCTAGATGGCAAGCATAAGATATGTAACTTTCAAATTTAATCTTTCTATTGCTGAGTATCAAATAAATTCATTTGTATTATATGTGTTTGGGATAAAGTTTCGTACAAAAAATAGTGCATATTGTTACTTATTTTAATCAGTTTTTAAATGCCACCTATGAGCATGTAATATGGTAATGGGGAAATAATTTTACCTCTAGTGCTGCCACATTGTCATAAAATTCTCTGATTAAAGGCATAGCAATCAGTGTAATACTCATTATATCTTTTATTACCTCTTTTCAATTGTATTTCTTGAAATATGTAAGTCGGCATATGGGTAAAACCTACTTCTATAGCAGGGCAATAACTGTCAATGCAACCTCTCATGACTGGCAGCAAATGTGTTAAGTATTATCTGATTTATGTTGAGTGGAATAGGTGTGGCCCGTAAAAGCTAGCTGACAACATTATTGACGGATATATTGTATTTTTATCAGTGCAGTACATTACTTCTTAGATTGTGTACAGCCAATGCATGAAGTAAATATAAAAAATACCTTGGGTTCATGCTGTGAGTATATGATAGCTTGTAATTAAGTAAAAATTTTCACTTTTCCAAGAATACAGCTTTTAAAATAAATTTTGTGTATTTAAAAGAGCCGTGAAATGAAATCCCAATCTTATGCTTAATGTGATTATCAGTCTAATAGAACGAAGAAGTTAAATACTGCAGGTGAAATATTTCAGTTAGTTGATGGTTATTTTACAAAGCTGAAAAGTTTTTTACTTCATTCTGGGGGATTTATAAATATGTATGAACTCATTTTCAACTCTAAATCTTTTTATTTTGTGTTTTTGTATAGTTTGTTTCCAGTAAAACAGCACAAAGTATCATGTTGTGGGTTCTTATAACCTATAACAGTTTCTGTTAAAATGAGTAGAGCATTTCTTTAAAATTAACCCTATGATGAAATTATTCATACTGTCAAAATACCAGCTTAAGCATGCTTTTCAGTAGCTCTAGGATTTCAAGAAAAATACTGTTGTCCAGAATTATCTTTATGTGAAGAATTTTTACTGATGTTAACTATTGTCACCATATAAATTTACAAAAGTAAAAAACAAAAATATCCTCCACACTGCCACACTATCTGTGGCATTTCTTTCGAAAATCCCTTTTCCACATACCTTCCATAGTGTTGATATGAGCTCCAGTTTCCAAATCCTTAAATCTCACTGCGTAACTTACTGAGAAGCGAAGAAAGCCGTTTAAATCTTCATTTACACAAACTTCAATTACTGTTTTCCCTTCATTCATTTTAAATGATACAGAAACTTCAGATTAATGTTATCACAATCAGCCTTTTTGCGGTGTGGAGCACAAAATAAATAACGTACTTCCTACACCACATCCAATGCAGAAATAAGCCCTGAGATGATGCATTACAACCAATTACGTCATGATAGGGTTTCTGTAACATTCAATGCAAAATACTGAGGTTCATAAATGAAACAACAAATTGGCGATAATCCAAGGGGTACTCTAAAATATTATACTAATCCATTACTCTTGTGATCTAACATCTTAACAGAGGCTCAGACCTTGCTGGTGTATAAATGACACTTATTCCCAAAATTCTATTTGATTGTTTCATCGGGTATATAGAATTCCATTGTGATAGAAAGATTTTAGTCCCTATTAATGTCAGAAGTGTGTATTTGTTCCTGAAATATTTACTTTTTCCTAAAACTTATCTCCTACAATTTTACTTTTGTTTCATAATATTGCTGTGTGTAATATGCGTTCATATTTGATGTTTCAGTTTCCATTTATTTGTTAATGATACTGTGTATCACATCAAATAAATTTATTGAATTTTTGATGCAGTTTTTGAGAAATCAGTGTTTTTTCCCTATGAAACGACTTTTGGACTCTAATGTGTGTGTGTGTGTGTAAAAGTATGTGTTGTAACTAAAGAAAAAGTTCTAAACTAATATGTGTTGAGTTTAAATTTTTGTTTTAATTTATAACTATGTGTATTACTATATATATTTATAAATATATATGCAAAAGCATAAATTAATAAAAATGTATGTTTATTTTTCTTCCTTTTCAGTGAACTTAAAGATTATGCTGATTTTAATTGGTACACTGTGTGGAATTGCATTTTTAGTTATCACTATCTTCTGTTGTTATTGTTGCTGCAAAAAGCGAGGAGTTAAATTATCCAAAGATGATTTAAAATTTGCTCGTCAGCGAGAAGAAAGGAAACAGATAGCTGCTTTGAAGTATTCTTTTTTCGCTCTTTTTTTTTTTTAATATCTGGAACATATGTACACTTTTTAATGATCTGTGTTTTTATTTTATAACTTGATATTTATTATGAGCTTAAATTATTTTATAGTATATTTTTTCCATATGTATTTGAGCCCACCAACGGCCGAGAGGTAAAGGCGCTGAACACTGGTAGTTCAGTCCGAGGTTCGAATCCCGTGAATGGGCTGGCTGCATGGGTGTTTCCGTGGTTTTCCCCATGTGCAACATGTATACGAGCCAGTTTCCCTTAGAAAGTCCTCCACGAAGGCATCCCTCCCTTTAGGCAGATAGCCCTCGTTTGCTTTGCCATAAGTAAATAATCCATATCCATATGTGTTTGATATAAGTTGCCTTTAAAATACTAATTTTTTTGTAAAAATAAAAATTGTTCATTTAAATGAAATCTTAAATGAAAAATTAAATGCGCTAAAATCAGCAAGGAATTAATTTCAAGAAGTGGCTAAAACTCTATACGTTTTTATAACTGTTGTAGAAATTGAATTGGAGAATTAGTAGAATTATGGAATGACATTTTGTTTGAATAATGTATATTTTTTATATAGTGATATCATGAAAAGGCATTGTAAGAGCTTGTTGATAGCCATTTTCATTATAGTGGTGGAAAAGGTTATATATTTTCAAATTCAAGAGCAAATTTTGATTATAATTAGAAAAATTGTGTTGTTTTTATAATTCTGAGTAAAGGGCTGGATGCTATCAAGAAATATAATGGTAAACATGTTGAGTTTCTCTGTTTGCAAAGAAGTATGAAATATTTTGAATTTTTTCCAAAGTATATTCTTTTAAACAATATAAAATATCACCATGCATTTAAATTTGTGTTACTGTATATTAAAAATTTTAATTGAAAACCTGAAAATTATTATTAGTGATATATACCAGTTACTCTTAACTATTAATGTATATAACAAAATGAAAAGTACCTAGTCACTTTTGAACATGAACATTTTTCGTGTTTAGCAACTAGAACTTGAATGGTGTTCTTCTGCTTTTTTTTCTATGTCTCTTGTTAGTGTCTGCTTGTCTCCAGTTGCCTTTCATATTAGATTCACTTACAGTTACAATAAGTTACCATCTGTGGTTTCTGGCTGGTGTTATAGCATTTTTTTTCATTTTGTGATTGTACTCAATTAAGTATTTGTCAAATTTGCAATATAATGGTATCTTGTATTAGATAATTCAAGCGTGCATTATATTTCTACAAAAGTATGAATATGTAATAAAGTGCTTTAATGAAATTAAACTTGATATTTTATAGCATTGTTTTTGCTGAATTTTTTCATTTTGTACTTTATGAAGAATTTTACTGAATTTAAGAGAAATTGATTGACAGTGTATGGCAGTTTTTCATCACTGCAGTAACAATTTAATGTTTTTACTCTGTTTAATATCTGTTTTTTGAACCTGGTTATCCGCACGATTTTTTCGTTGTCTTATTTAAGATTTATACGTGTTATGTTAATTTTGCTTTTTAGGAGGCAAGAAAGAGCTGAACGAACTGAAGAAATTCGCCGCAAATACGGTATGTATTGCTGCAGATTTTATAAAAGTTAGTAAGCTTTAATAATAATTTGATAATATAATTAATATTTTAATAATAATTAATGAATCATCATTTTAATAATTCAATAATATGAACTCAATATTAGAATAGTCAACTCAGTTTTAGAAGAGCTGATATGTAGGATGGGATTGAAAGATGTACAACATGTTTATCATGTAGTAATTTGTGCCTTTTTATGTTAAGGCACTAGAATTTTAAGCAAATGCTTCTTTATCTTTCTGTATTTACCTTTTAAAAGTGATAAAAATTTTGTTTTTGTAAGGGGGTTAGGGTCAGCTTCCAATTTCTTGTGATTTTTTCATCTAGTATTCCCTTGAAATCTGATTGCCTTCCAAGAAGATTAATCACAAAGGAAGTAGGTGCATACAAATTAAATTTAGGCCAAATATGAGTCATAAAGGTCAATCAGCAATAGTTTTTGTGGCTAATAATGTTATTTAGTTATCTTTATCTGTGCTTATAGAGAGAAATGTATACTGATGAAAATTAATCACTTTCATTAGTCATTTAAATAACTCAGAAAAATTTATAAATTTAGTATTAGTTGCATTGCAGATCTATTTCATTTTACAGTAGCTTTGGCAATGTGAATGTGAGTCAATTTCTGTTTACAGACTTTCTGCAAAGATATCTGTTCCTTAGGCAAGTAACCCTCCTGTGCGCTTTTGCACCCTGAAGCAATCCAATATCCTTATCACCTTAAATTTTCTATTCAAAATATAGTCAGCATTTGTTTGTGTTATCTTCAATGTCCTGATATGATGATCCTTAAGAAAGTTAAGACTGATCTTCTGTTAACTTAAAGTAATTCTACTCATAGTGTAATGACCAATTGTTTGGCTTAAATTATGTTATAGGAGCCTTCTCAAAGTAGATAAAATATGAATCTTTTTTTTTTTTTTCTGAGAAATAAATTTTTCTTTTATGTGACCTTTTTAAGTAAGCCAATTTAAGTGCAACTAAAACGAAGCTACCTTCTGAATCATATACTGTTTCTTGAGGAAAAGACATAGAAATATGCTTTGTAGAGTACTGTTCATCATTGTGACATTACTTTTTGATGCAGAAACGTTTTATTTATGTAAATAAGATCAAATTTAAATGATTCGACACCATATTCAGTTTTCTTGGAAGTGAATTTTCGAGTTAGAAATGAATAGTGAAAATTACTTTGTCCCTTTTTCTAACTGAATTTTAGAACTTTACCAACAGTTAATTCTTCTGAATCCTTTTTAAATTGCATCTAAATGTTTAAATGACAGTGGTAGTTTAATTCTTCAGTTATTTGAAGTTTTAGTGGAATAACATATTGTGTAATTTCAGCAGCATTATGCTACCCTAGAGGCTTATCTGACTGCTACTTGACTGTATCTTTCTTATCTGAGACGTAAAACCAGTTGTTTTAAATTGCATGTTAGAGTTTGCTGTTCATTATTTTTGTGATTATAAAGAACAAAATATACAATATTAATGTATAGAAGTGCATTTAATAGTTATGCATTTCATGTTATATATCTTTTATTAACTGCATGAGATGTATGTAATTATATCCCTGTATAAGGCTACTGTTTTCTATATAGTTACCGCTTGTAGCATTGCACTTACAAAAACCATTTTGAAAAAAGTCCTTTAAGCATTTGCTCCTAGAGTATGTAATAGGATATTTTACATTATTTGTATCATTAGAATGATGAGTCTAAAGAGTTTTCTTTTATTTGCTTGAACGATTTAAAATCTAAGGTTTTAAGATTAAGGCAGAGTATGGAGGTAGTGCCATTGATCATTCTACATATGTAAGCTTTTGTGAAATGTTTGAGAAAATAAGGATGTGGTATATATTGAATATATCATATCATGATTTCACCAAATGACAATTTCTTCTTCTTTCAGCCCTTTCTTCCTTTTATTTATTTATTTTCTTTTTATAACCAGTTGGCTATGCAAAGTTAGTGATGTAGCATTTCTGTTCATTGTTCTCCTCTGTTCAAGAAAATACAGTAAAATAATTATGATACAATTACATGCCGAATAAGTACTAATTTAGAAGTCAAACAACAAAAATCAGTGTTATATTTTCAAATTTTCACAGGACTAGTTTCGATGGTTTTACTGAACCATCATCCTCTGCTACAAAAGCGCAAATGAACAAGATAAGATATAATGATAGGTGAGAAAAGATAAGAAAGAATGGACAAGAGTCAAGCTACTGGCACCATCTTTCTAGAGGCATTTCACATTAAAAAAAAATCTTTCTGTTCTAGTTAACAACCCTAATTCCAATCCATCTTTGCCTTCAGCCTTTAAAGAAATTATGTTTTAGTCCTGGTTTCAGGAACAGATGGCACCAGTAGCTTGACTCTTTTTCGTTCTTTCTCATCTAATCATTATATCTTATCTCGTTCATTTGTGCTTTTGCAGCTGAGGATGATGGTTCGGTAAAACCATCGAAATAAGTCCTGTGAAAATTTGAAATATAATGCAGATTTTTGGTGTTTGACTTCTAAATTAGTACAGTAAAATATCCTTTATCATGGCAGACATTCATGATAACCTTGTGTGCTGATCATTTGCTCTTAAATCTTTGTGCTCGTAAAGAGAATGTATCACTGCTTCATTTACTGGCTGTTGTTTCAGTGTCGTAAAGGAATACTAAATCGCATTGCCAGTGTAAGCATTCATGAGGTTATTCCTTATGGACTTCAAGTGTTATTGGCAGTTCTGAACATATATGTAGTCTCTTTTCTAATTGTCTGTCTTTTCAAAGAAATTCTGATTCTTTTGTAGCAGCATGATGATTGCAAAGTGTCATTCATCTTTCCAACCATGATATCCTGGGCACCATTCCAGCTATAAATAGTTATGGTATCGTCAAAGATAGCTAAAGCAATAGGTGCCTCGCAGACATTCCTCAGTGCTGTAGCAACATCAGATTGTATGTACAAAACATGGTTGATGTGCATCCTGAGTGATGTTTTGTAATATGATTATAGTCTGTAGTGCCATGGACATAGACATGTGCTCTTGCATGATGGTATGATGTAGTTATAGGGATTCTTAACATTGTGGAGTTCACCAGCCTATCAGTTCTATATTCATCTAACTAGCCACTTTCATTACATGATGAAAATCAGTTTTTCAAAAGAATGGACTTATCTTGATGTAATTTTGCTGTGATCAAAGCCTAATTTCTGGATATGGCTGCTGAATTTTTTAATAAGGTTTAATTTTTCCTATAAGCTAGAATGGCAAGAAAATACAATTTGGGTAAGGGAACATTGGAGTTTTGTTCTATTTTCTTATATTGCTTTCAGAGGGCATTATTAGTACATATGATTTGCATAATGTGCTGCATCAGTACTTATTTGCTTGTCCTACCATGATGTCAGAGGGAAATTTCAGATCAGACCACATATTATTAATTTATATTATTGTGTATTATGTGATGTTTTGCTTGGGCTGCTTAATTAAAATGGCTAGCAGTATGAACATGAAGCTGTCTGGGTTTACAGTGTAAGGCAAATAATCCTTGCATGTTTTATAACACGATTTTCCAAATTTTACCATAACTTTAGATGGTTTGATGGGTTGGTTTATGTGGCAAAGTGAAAGAGGGTTGCCTGCTCAAATTGGAAAGAAGAATACTGATAATGCTATATTGCCAGTAATTTCAGCATAAGTCATTTCAAGGAGAAAGTGGTTCAGTTTGATACTTTGAAGAAATGGAAACTGCCTAATTTAGATTGTTAATTCAGATTGGCAGAGCTTGTTAAAGACAATAAACTAACCAACTTAAAGTTTTCAGCCATTCTAAAAAAGGCAGTTGAACATTACTGACGTAGTTGATGAAAGATGAATGATTTGTAAAAGCCCTCTGAATGGGGCAAGATTGTTTTTATCTGGCAGTGAAATCTGTCTGAGCTTTATTGTGTTTTGTAAAATATTTAAAATTCTTCTGTTTCCTGTAATGTCTTATGATTCAGAGGCTGTTAATTGGAAAGGAGGGTGGATTGTTCATTTTCCCCATCCCGAAACTGTAATGAAAGCTTCATAGCAGACTGGCTATGACATCAGTGAAATCATGTGATTTTCTAAGGCTGATGAAAAGTTAAACATGAGGTAAAAAGTCATTAACAAAGTCATTTTGAGAGCTGGCTATTAAACCTGTTTATGCAAGAAATATAATAATGGAGTGTCATTTGTTTGATAGGATTTGACAAGTTGGAATTTCATTAATACAATGAAATTTAGGTTGGATTCCTTGCTGTATTAAATTTTTCAAGAGAATGCAGGGAATTGTGCAGATCATGAATAAAGTTGGATTGTATGGTTGAATCAGTTGAACTGATAATTTAAGTCCTTATTTATTGTGCTTTTAGACATTGTTATTACTTTTTCATAAAAGTTTTGTTAGTAAATTTATTGAAAAATTTAAAGATTTTTTTTTTTTTTATCTAAGCTTGTTTTTTACTTATATTGTAGCTGCTATTATAGCTGCCAGCCATTCCAGTTTTTCATTACATCTGCTAGTAAATCACTGAATCATCAGTTTTTAATTTCTAGCTTTTTATTTTGCCATTACTAGCATGAGTTCAACCTTTCATGGGTAAAACTACAAAACTAACCTGAGCAGCCAGAGTGAGTTATTGTAATCCTTTTCATCCACAGAAGACAATGCAATTCCTCAGCTAATTTTTATTCAACATTATTCCTGTGCTGGACAAAGTAAATATACTTTTCAAAAACCAAAGACTCACTTATTCATAATTTACATTCTGTTCTTTTGGAGTTGCTAAAAAAATTGCTCTCAAAGTTTGTGGTGCCCAAAGTATTCCTCTCAAGCATATTATAATAACCCACTTCATCAGAAAACTGGATTTTCTTACTACATGATTTAATAAATTTTCTTTTAAAAATACTTTTCTTATCCATGATGCATTAAAGTTTCTTCTTTCGTTAAGCTTTCATTTTCAACTCTTCAGTTTTTCATAGAAAAGTTTCCAGTCATGTTATAGAAAGTTGAAAGTGAAACTATTGATAGTACTGTTGATAAACTCAAAGCAAAAAATTGGACCTGTAAAAATAGCTTGTTGGTAGAGCAGTCAAGTTTTCAAGACTTTATTGCCAGAAAGATTGCATTTATCTTGGATGTTATCTAGCACTGCTGCGTTTTATCAAATTTCATGCGATTCTGCTTGAGTTTATACACAGAACAGGGTTGGATTATCACTTGACCTAAAGTATCTTTCTTTCCATCCCATATAAAGTGACCCAAAAATATTTTTCAAAAATGTAGCAGCAGGTAGAGGGAAACTGAAATGAGCCGATTTCATAATAGAATGCATGTGCTGAAATGGCACATTGAGGTGGTATTGACTGGTAGGTAAAAGTGTTCTGCTGGCTTAAATTATCATTTGCCATGTATACATCTATGTTACATCATGTATGAATGTTTACATCTTCTGGAGGAAAGAGACTATGTTCTTTTTGAAAAGTATCTTAATGCCTTCTATTGTTGAAATTAATGCCAGAATAATGTTGGATATTAAAATCTTAAAGCTTCAATGTATTAATTAAAGAAACTGCATTCTGTGAAAGTTTTTGAAAGAAAGCTTTGGCTTTTGAATGATAAACTATTTACTGTAGTCAGTATGTGTAAAGTTTTCTCTGTCATTTTACTTACTTTCTCACATATTGTTATTAGTATGAATTAATGAAACTGTATTGCTAAATGTTGCATATTTGTAGGAATTTTATATGTAAATTGATATAAATCTATGGTTATTTCATCTTGCATAATGTCTGTGTAAATTTATATCTATTATCTTAAATTTATCTAACGTAATGATGTATGTGCCATGTATATATAATAATGAGAACACATGTATGTAGTTTGATTTATAGAACTTCGGTATTTCAAATCCATATGACTAAGAATATGCTTTTTTTATAGGTCTGGTTAAAGATTCAAATCCGTATCAAAGATTTGATGCCTAGTGTAAAGGTGAGTTTGATTTTCCTTGGGTTGGGTGAAATCACAAGAATTCTGCTTTTAATGTTTTATGATATTATTTTCTAATAGCTATATTATAATGGCTGTGATGTGTTTTAAAATTGCCTTGTCATTTGAATCATAGCCAAACCCCCTAATTAAAAAATGGTTTCTAATGTTTATGATTAAAGGGCCCTATTTCAAAGCTGCTCACAATTGAAACCAGTGATCAGAAAATTGTGAAATTTTGTGCCAGGCATAATGAAGGGATGAGAATTTCTTTCAGTGGGAAAAAATTGGTTACAAATAGTGTCACCAGTGGACATTTTACTTTGAAAAACCTGTAGTAAAAATATAAATCTTTGTTGACACCATGCAGCAGCTGTTATAAAACCTAGAAAACACTCGAAGACTGATTTCAGTGTGCTTGTTGCTCATAATGATGATAATTTCACGAGATCACGCTTTATTAGTGAAATTATTTTACCAAAACAGTTATTCCGCAGTAGCTTCTATACAGATATTTCGGAAGAGGATTCTAAGAGGTCTAATGAATGTTAAAACCCTTCAGAAAATGCAAATAAAATCTGAAGAAAGAGGATCGTTTTCTGTTTGTTTTGGAAGATAAAGAAACCTGTCTGCCGAAGCAGTATAGAAGGTTGTGCTTCAGGCCATAGAAGACACAACTTCAAACTAGCACCAGTGTTTGGCATATAGCAGAGGCACTGGGTAGTACAGCTGAATTTAAATTCAGCTGTCCAGAAGAAGTATAAAAATGAATGAAGTTATGCATCAATACTTTTATTTTTATCACAATACAAATCAAAATTTTTACAAGAGTCACTGATGTAAGTTATTAATAAAATCTTGAGAGGTTGCTATTCTCAAAATTGTAAAAATACAGTTTAAAGGACTTGCCAAAGCACTTTTATTAAACATTTTCAAAAACTAAGAACCGTTTCTTATAAGGTCACTTGATCTTGGCTTCTTCAGTGCTACTCTCTTTGGACATTTTTATGAAAAATTGATCAGTTTCACAACAGTATGACTTTGCCAGATGAATTTTAGAATTTCCCATAAATAAATCAGAGAAGCTGGTGGTAGATGACATACTCCTTCACCTATTTCCAGTGTATCCAATGGGATTTTAAATCCAGGCTTCTCTGTGGGCATTCCAGCTGGCAGAATCCAATGGAATGTTCCTTGAACTGGGTGGTAGCCAACTGGGATTGTGATAGAAGTCTTGCTGGTGCACCACATTTCTGTTTGAGTTTCAGAATGGCTTGAAGGGATGTAAATGATCACCCTGCAGATCTACATACTTAGAGAGATAGTGAGGATGCTTTGTGAAAGTACCAAAGGTCCCAAACATTGCAAACATCCCACACCATCACCAAGTTGCCCTGACTTTGCACAGTTCCAATGTGACATTCTGGAGGTATGGCTTTGTAGGGTATTTATCAGTGTGGGATTCTTAGCTTGCCATCAAAATGATGCAGTAGGAACTGAGACTCACCACTTTGTGGTACTCACTTTGAACCATCAGCAATTTAAACACAGTGTCCTCCTATACATGACATTAAACTCAGTGGTCTGCTTTAAGAAATAATATTCTCATAGGCCTTTTTCTTCTGAAGCCCATACACTAAAGCAAGTGTTGCATGTTCCATTTTTTTTAACTGTTTGGACTGTACCCTTCACTCAATTAAGTGGTCACCTGAGCTAGTCATTGGCCTTATATGGAATGGTTGAGTTTTCGAAGATCCCAATCATTCACGTTTGCTTGTTACTTGCAGTTTGCCCGATTACTCTTCCTTATATCTGAGTACTTTCATCAGGCTTTTGATACTGTGAAATGCAAATGCTCTTATTCTCAAACTATTTCTGAAATTGAATGACCAGTATGTGAAGCACCTATTATGCTTCTTTAACTGAAGGCATCTTAAGATTTTTGCCCATTGTTTATTTTTAAGAAATTTTTAAAGAAGGATACACATGTATATTTTATGGCAGCATCCTGAAATGTGTAGAAATAAGGCAGCAGTGCTATAATAATTGCATAATGCTAACTGTTTTTAATTCACTGTAACTTTATTTATTAGTTTAGTACTGCACAACTTCTATGTACGGCTGCAAGATTTATTATGCTAGCATATGTTTAATCAACAGCTGAAAAGTGAAAATCTATTTTATTATATATATATGTATCTATGACTTGTGCTGTAGGATGTTCCTTTAATGTTATATGGATATCTTTCTCTTTTAAAGTTCAGTAATTTTTAATGTTAAGTTTGCTATATTTTCATGACCATTTTCTCTTTATGTAGGGACTTAGTGGATGATGTAAGGTTGATTAGAAGAGAATTACTTAATGCCGATTCAGGAACTGCACTGTGAATCTTAATATTTTGCTAAATTTAGGAGGTTATATGCTACTGATACTGTTTCCATTACTTAATTTACTGTTTGATTTAAGTGTGAAATTATATAGCCAAGTATAAATTAAATAAGGAAAAGAAAATTTTAACATTTTACTTCTTTTTAAATGAAGGAATTGCAGTTATAGCATATAAGACATCTGTAAAATTCATTCTAATATGCTCTTTTCCTTTCAGAGATATGTAAATAACAGAGTAACAGTAAGGTGAAGATCTTGGTTGCATTTTGTTTACTGTATTTGTTGCATTATTTTTATGAAAAAATATTAGAAATATTTAATATTTCTTTGATTATTTAAATTTTAAAATCTGAACAGGAATTTACAATTCAGATAGTTGAAATGAAATGGTGAGAAAAAATTGGTTTTAAGCAGTGTTGCAAAAATTTGGGATAAAAAATACTATACATTTTTAAATGCATTCTTGCATTCATCTGTTTGGTAAAAGACTGAGAAAATTGCTGCAGCAAAATGGCCAGAAGTATGTATTTAATGATTAAGATAGGTATGTCATATCAAACTAAATTGTATGATTGCATATCTGCATGCATGATAAATATGAAAGTGTTTTCATATTCTGTGGACAATGCATATATTTTGTACAAGTATGCCATTATAACTCATTGTGAAACTGAGATTTTTATAAACTGTAGAAGAGTGATTTTTTCTAAGATAATTTAAATGATCATATATATGTATTTTTGTAATTCTCCTGTAGAAGTTTATGCAAGACCTTTCAGTGTATTTTATAAATTGTTTGTTTGTGAATGCATATTTATTCACATATTATTAAGATATCTTAATATTATTATAAATAATTTTTCTCCAAATGCTGTATATCACATGGAAATTGTCAATCTAATATACTTTTGATGAATATTTATTAGAATTAATATTTTGATATAATTATGTACAGTTTGTATTCATATAAAAATATATACTAAAAAATGTTTTGTAAGATTCCACTTCCAAGTTTTTTCTAAATATGTGACTTCTGTGAAAGATTGGCCAAACAAATTTGTCCTTTGGTATTTAGTGCAAATGCATTTTTTCTGAAGTACTCTAATTTTTGGAGCCTCATACCATTCATTATGCTGGTTACGTCACCTGTTACCAAGATGTAAAATTTGCTGTATATTTATAGTTTTGTCAGTGGAATGGAGGAGGGTATAACACTTCATTGTGTTTTTTAAATTGTGCTTAACGCACTAAATAACCAAGTTCCATCTAAGTAGTGAACTTCTATATGTACAGATATTTAGCTGCAGATGTATACATTCATATGTGTGTACAGTTTGTAAAGTAGTTTTAAATGCTCAGAGCTTGGTGAAAATATCCCAATGATGTCAGGAGATTATTTGTTGTAATAAGGCAGTATGATGTAATATTAAAATTGTTTGCATGTAGTATAAGTGTCGGACATATTTGTTTTTATTATTTTCATCGATATGAGAAAATGTGAAAAGTGATTTTAATCATAACATTGCACAAAATAAAAGTTCAGTAGTTAGATTGAAAGTATGTTGGAAATATTGGAAGAAATAGATGCAAACGATTATTAGTGCCGTTCATGCATTATTATCAGGAAGTCGATGTTTACAATAGTTACTAAACATAAGTTTAGATTAATAGGGGTCTATGATTATGCAGTCAACAATTAAGAAACTAATTTGGTCTCTTAGATAACCTTTAGCTTACAAACTAGCTAGTCGCTAAACTAGGTTTATATGTCAAGGGCCTTTCTGCATTATATCATTTCTAATTTATCGTGGGTATTTGTACTTCATAAGAATTATAAAATTAAGATACAAGATGTAATATAAAAATGTCATGTTCATCCGGTTCTGTGTTCTTATAAACTAATATTTATTATTTTTGAAGCACTAAATATTTCACTGGAAGATATTTTATCATTTATCTGTTAATTTAATATAGTTTAGGTTAAATGATGTACTTAAATTTGATGTCTGTTATTGATATAATATGAAGTATATTATTTCAGTAATGTATAAATCATATAACTATAAACTTCAATATGTATAACTCGTATTAAACTTTGTTTTTTTTTTTTTTTTTTTTTTTTTTTTTAGAAGTGATATGAAATATTCATGCTATTCACAGCTGCATATTTATAAATTTAAGAAAGTGAGCAAAATACAAACACACATACAAAACTGAGTGATAATTTTTTGCATTGTTTTGCCCTTTTTCTTTGAGAAACTCTGAAATAAATGAAAGAGTGCAGTGAAAAGGAAAAGAAAGATTTAGTGTAATTTTTATCTTCAATAGCTGTGCTTAGTTAATCAAAACTGTTTAATGTTTTCTCTCTTCAAGTTATTTTTATGTAAAATGCTAACTAACAAAGTGTATAAAGTACCTTCATGCCATTTGTCTCTTAACTACCCCATTTTCATAATTTAAATTGGCAGTACCAAAGTGTAACTATGTATATTGTTTGGTAAAGCACTATTGAAGAATTACACATAGAAGACATTTTAAATGTCATATTTTGAAGACCAAAACTGAATGGAAGAAATTTTTATAGATTTATAGCTTTCATTTCTTCAGTGAATTATTTATAAAGTTTGGGCCTTATTATTCATTCCATTAAGCTGTTATTAATTACCAAAGATGGTTTCCATTTTTACATTAGAGTAAGCTTTGTATTACACAGTAAGATGTCATAATCTTGATAATTTATATACAGTGGAACAATTTCTAATTTTGTACATTTGATTACATCTTTGATATCGTGCTGTATATCATAAATATTCTAGATGAAGTTTTGTAATATATTTTAAATGTATTTTATATGGAATAAAGTATTTTGAATATGTATATTGGGTTTTACACTATAGAGTTATTGTACAATATATAAATCCAAGTATACAGTTATAGTTTATTTTGATCTAGCATGGGCCATATGTAAATACAAACTCAGTTAATATACTGACTAATGCCCATTAGAAAGATAAATTATATTTTGGAGAATATTTCTTGTGGATAATTTTATTTTATGTTAGTGTAAAAGATAACTGCTCAAACATTTTTTCTTACTGTAATGGTTTCAGCAAATTTTGATGTGAACATCAGTGATGTTTCAGATTTTATTCCACATTATTTACAGCTGTGGTTCCTAAATGTGTTATTCATAGAGCTCTCTTTAGAATCAATTTCTATGGAAGAGCCCCTTAAACTCAGGGAATGTGTTTATGACTGAAGAGGTTTAGTTAGGTGGAGGAAGAAGGGATAAATAGTACAGAAATGTGAAGACAAGACATATCTAAGCAACAGAACAATATCCGTGCAATGAAATTATTTAAAAAACTTTGCAATTTGTCATATATCTTGATTTAATCTTAACTTTCAACCAATGCGTATGGTTTTGCCTACTATACCGAAACATTAGTTTATATCTCAATGAATCAAACCATTTGCACTGCAGCAGGTTACTTGGTGACAGCAACAGTGAACACAGCTCCTTCAGTTTAATCATTATATGCAATTCAATTAAAATAAATATTCATTCATGATTCACTGTTCAAAATTGTTACTATTCATTACAGAACTTTAATTTTACTACATTGTGTGTACTGTAGTGCAACAAGAGGCCTAAATTAAGATGCAACAAAACATGTTAGGAAATGTCCACCTGGGGTAAGATAGCTTTTCCACAAAGCAGGTTTAGGGCTGCCTAAAATTGCAAGGGAATGCAGGGTTGCCATATTTGGCACAAAATTGCCCATATGGTGACAAAATTAGTGATATGCTATAGATTGATGGTGAACATTCTGGAACAAATTCTTAACAGTTTGTTCCAGAATGTTTTCGAAGGCAGTCCAAGAAGCTATATAAACCCTGCTTGTATATCAGGTAGCAGTATATCGTAGTGCGTCGTTGAATGTGCTGAGCTCCGAGAGCTATCGACTGAGTCGGAAGCTATACTCTGGTCAAGGCTTGTACAGTCCTTAAGAGTACTTAAAAGCTCTTCGATTTCTTTAGAATAAATTTTTGGACCTTAAAAGTCCTTAATTTTGGCCAAAATCAGCAAAAGGTCCTTAATTTTAATCATCTTAAATTTCTGTCTGTTTTTACGACTGCCATGTTTAGTGTGAATTAGCATTTTGGAGGAATATTTTTGGTGATTCACTGACATATATGGCTATCTTCTGAATGGGTTCATAGGTTATAATTTGTTTCTAAAATGATGGGATACTTTAGTTTCTAAGCAAAGAGTGAAACATAAGCATTTCGAAATTCATTTTTTCTAATGAAGAGCTCTTAAACAACTTTTCACTTTTTGGAAGGGGAATTCTTTTATTAAATCGTTCAAAATTTGGCGACTTATCAACATTTTGGCGATTTTAAGATCAGTTTCTATAGAAAATTTTTAATTCCGAGATCTGAGAATTTATCGACGATTTTTTTAAAACCTCTTAACATTGATAAATTTCATTAAAATAATAATCATTTCATTCAATAATTAATATTGTTAAAAAATAACATTAAAATAAAACATTTTTATTTTTATTTTTCACTATCATATTATAAAGTTTCATTTTGGCAACTTAATATACAATATTTTGAATTTGAAAAATAAACAAGGTATAATTAATTAAAAAGATCTTTTTAATTTTTTCGTAGTAAGAGTTTTTCCCATGTAATTGTTTCAGAATATTAAAAATTCTCAGAATATGCATCAGTTTTCTGTATAAAATTAATTTTACACTTTTTCCGTAAATAGTTCTGGCTTTTTGCTGTTACAGAATTGGTAGGGATAATTTTTTTAGGGTCTTAGACATTGCAGCTTGGAAAGTTTAGAAGGTTCGAGAAATATGTGACAAAACAAAAAATGTCTCCATGGTATCAACATGTAAGGTTTACATGTTGTAATTTGACAGTAAGTTTGCAGTGAATTTCTTACTTTTTAGAGAACGTTTGAAAGGACAATGAAAACATAATATTTGAATGTTTTACTTCTGATACTAGAATCTTTTTCTTAACATCCCTTTATTTTCTCTACTTTCAACTAGACACAAGCTTGGAAAATATTAAAAATGCTTTTAATCTTATGACATGGGCAGGCATTATAGAAAGGGATTTTTTTAATAATAAAGAAATTGAAAACTTGCAATTTCAATGATTCATCTAATATGTCCTAATGCATCATACACAGAGCTGGCATTAGGCATTTTCCCACCTGATGCAATCTCTGTTGATTCTAAATTCTGCAACCTAGTACCTTTGCTAAATTCTGCTTCCAGTGCCTGCTCTAAATTTTAAATGTTTAGCCACATCTAGGTTTTGTTGTTCGGTGTGTAAATAAATTCTAAAAATTCTGCCACACCAGCTCTGTAACCAGGCTTTACCATATATATTTCATATTTCTTCTGAATGTTCATATTACTAAAGAAATAAAATTAGCCACTTTTTATATACATTCAAAATGCATTTAGTGTTTTTTAGAATAACAAAAATCCTTAATTGAATCCAAAAATTCTAAAATGGAAAGGAAATATGTTGAAAAAAGAAACTGAATAGATAAACAAAATTATTCTTGTGCAGTTATTATTATGTAAATTACCCAATTTTTTTGATTTCAGCCTTTACTATCCCATTTATAATCCATTTATAATTTATAATTTTATATCCATTATCCTCTTTATCCCATTTTTGTTTCCTCATATGATAAGAGTTACTGAGCCAGATTAAATTTAAATTAAAGTGTATAATCTTTGACCACTGGTCCACATTTTTAGTTTGAATTTGACTGTTCTTGTTCAATTACGTCACCGTGAGCTGTAATTAATTTTGTTAGCATCAGAACGTACCTTTATGTTCTAAGTTCTTTTCAAATAATAGGCTTATTTAAACCTTTGTCTGATATTGTAGTTACTTTCAGCCATAGCGATAATTTACTTCACGTCTATTGGGGGTTTTGGAGTATTTAATTTTACGTGATCAAGTAAACCCTCATAGGTACATTGTGGAGAGGTTGACAAGCTAGGAGATAAAGCATGCAGAAATTAGCAAGAGCTTTGGTTTGCCTATTGAGGCAAATCTCTAATTGTTAGAAAAGATGCTTAAAGAGAAGGAATTCGATATAAACTAGCGAAAATGATTGGGAAGGCTTCAAATTAAAATGTCTGATAAATTGTATTTTTGTTGAGTGTTGTTACAAAAACATAAATGCTTTGTAACAATGGTTGGCAAGTGTTGGTGGTTAAACTCCTCTTAAAAGGAAACAGCCAGTTGCATTTGAAAGTGAGACATTTGTACTATTAGATTACATGTCTGTGAGGAACCAAATGGCTGCTGCTACACTGCTTTACCTCATCTTTAATTTTAACATTTGTTCTAGCACTGTGACCCCCTCATTTTTTTCCACCGCCAGTGCATATATCAGCATAATTTTCACATTATTTCATTTTGATGGGAAGAATTCGATCAAAAAATTAAATATTTCTTCTGATATGCTTACTAGTTGTAAAAGTCCGCAAAGAAGATGCTCCTTGCTATCTTTGTAAGCAGCATCTAGATCAAGTTCATGAACCCGTAGATTTTCAAGAAATGGAGAACTGCATTCCAGATTAAAGTACAGCTGGATCTTCAGGAAACCAATGCATGATAAGATACTGGCAGGGCTGGCCTGGGGCAAATTGCATTTCGGGCAAAAGGGATAAACTTTAAGGCCCAACACATGTCATTGAGTGTGAGGATGACCACTGTGGAACCTAGCGAGAGCTGTCTGTTCGCATCTGTTGTTTGACCCGATCATAGCAGCTCCAGGACAATTACAATCGTGGCATTCACTCATGGATAGGTGCCTTGCTTAAGGTAGAGTTAATTTCTTGTTTGAGCTGGGAGGCAAGTTCCAAGAAAGAAATGCAGCCACTATCAGTAGAATCTGCCCTTCCTGGCCGGTCAATTTACAATTTTGTTACCATAAACATCCACATGTGATGGTACCCACAGGAAGAAAATCTTATTAAACTCATGGTTAAAGTAAGTAAGCCACGAGGAATGCTTAACAGAACTGAACCATCAACATCGGTGAATTCAGTCATTTGCAGCAAGAATTCGGTGTAGCTAATGTAACTGATAAGTATCTCTTTCATATCATCATTCATGCTCATCCAACAAGGGCCATATTTGATATATGTGTATACCCTTTTATAAGAATATCATGCAAAATGCTTAACGGTATTATAAGCAGAGTCTCTGAATTTTTTCGTGTTAATTTTGTGATCGCTTGATACAAATATTAAAATTATGTTTATTTTTAAAATCAAATTAGCATGTTCCTTTAGGATGGGAGGGAGAAGATCTTGTATGTTTCTCTCATTTGAGCTGCCTAAGCTGTGCTTTATCTGTTCAAGATTAATCCAGATTTCCCTTAAAATAGCTTTTGCATGCTTTTTTTTCTTTTCTTTTTGTTTCGCTCAATAACTGTCATCTCCTTGAACTTGTACCCTTTTTTATTAGAAACACATGGCCTAACTGTTAGCAGGCATTCAAAAAAATTATCCATCCATGTAATATGGGTATTCCAAATCATAAGCTTTCGTTCTGATCTTTTGTGATTCTACTAATAGAGTTATTTTTTTTTTTGGCCCCGCAAATGCAGCATTACTACACTGCTGGCCATTAAAATTGCTTCACCAATAAGAAAAGCAAATAGAATGTACTTTGTTGTTCGTATACAGCATGATGGGAGGAAGATATGATTTAATTTGCAGGTGGTTTGGGGTTCATAGAGTGCGGAATTCAATACACAGAGCTACCAAATTTGGCAACAAACAACGCTTATAATCTGGCAAGTCATCCCCTGGAACTAA